AAATAAAGATAGAGTGAAGCAAATGAATAAATAAGATAAATAAGAGGCACATTCAATGGAGCAGGAGGGAGACCCCGTTTAACATTCCCAGCATTGGGGGAGAGGGGATGATTAAACCCGTGTGAAGTGTGAATATGCCTCACTAAATCCGCTCAAAAGGGCACACTGAAACTAGGCTTAAATGGGTCTCATAGTCTTGGATATACCTCGTTTTCGCAACTTGGTCGGAGCGTCAAGGCGACTTTGTGGAACGTACCTAGTCCTGTGGCCTCTGACATAGTATTGGTGACTTCCAGCATCGGACCATTAACTTGGAACCTTCCCAAATGTTTCGCCAGCATCGTCAATGAGAGAGCTTCCTCGAAGCCCAACTTATCTTCGCATAGAGGTGGCATCGCCATCACAGAGTTACAACTTATCAAAGTGTCAAGTGATGGCAATCCCCTTGACCATTTTTCTATTCAGCTGCTGTGGCATCAATCCTTGCCCATATTTATTTTGTCCTACCTTCTAGTGCTGCATCTCTGTCTCTTGACCCCACCTCATATGGCCAATCTATCTATTCACACAATTCTGTGCTCTTGTTTCATCCATCATTCAAAACATTAAGAGTTTATTCCTATATGAAATTCTAGCAAATTATTATACGTAGAAAGTAAAGACAGATCAAGGCTATCGATGGACATGTAAGTGGAGATAGGAACCAACTATGGTACAGTTAAAATCTTGATGTCTGCATTCTGAACCCGCAATCCTAATTATAACATAAAGAAAGGGATTCTATGTGACATTACAATTTAAAATTATTGTATTTAAAGTCTGAAGAAATGACGGGGTTTTAATTGATAATTATGAAATTATCGAAAAATAAGTAAATTTGTCTTACTTATAAGTATGTTTTCGAAATTACCAGTAGGTCATTTATATATGAAGTGTATTCACGCTATTTGGTTTAAGGGGACTGTTAGTTGAATTTTTCCCACAATGATATGTTTCGACCTCGCCCCCCAGCGGGACTCGAACCACGACACTGCAGCGCCTACTCTCAACATATTAATCACAACTTCACATTTCCACAAGTATCCTTGGGTTACAAGGTAGATGTGTTTATTAAGGAAGGCCAGGCATTTTCCCATATCACATTCTATCCTGGGATTGCCAATGAAGCAAAGTTGTATTTGCTATAAAAATTGACTACGTTACTTATGTTTCGTGTATAAGTCGTTTTTCTAAACTGTGACATTGAATGCGATGATAAGAGGATATTGGGAAGATGAACGTACTAAGACAGAAGAAGAGGTACCACAATTGTTTAGCAGACAATTGGTCGAAGCATCGACTTTACTCGTCTGACGAGTTGTAGTGTCGTGCTAAGTTTGGCGAGGTTCATTCAAGATGCCGCCGAAACGTCCGGGAATGTATAAGTTCACGGACCGACTACGAAAATTATTATTACTACTATGGCAAAGGGCTCCTTACAAAGTGCATTAACTTAGCTCGCTTTAAAAATATGACCAAGTTGATAAAACGAATTAAAACCACTTATATGCAGCGAAAGGACATCGCTACCACCATCTTGGTCTTCATAGCTTCTATTGAACACTGGAAGAATGTTGTATGCCTTTTTGACAAGTTTGTCATTTTAGACTGAAAAAATCTTAAAGCTTATCTTGGTGGAATTCTTTTCTGATCATAAGGCCATACCAAACCTATATTTTTCCATTCGATTCAGCATAATTTCAATCGCAATCCTCTTGTGCCCTCTTGACTAATTTTATCCTCTTCTATGGTCAAGTGATTCATACCACCTCATAATCCCCTATTCCACATAGGTCATCAATATTTTGTTTCTATGGCAATCGATTAGCTGTTTTGGTTCCATTATGTTCAGGCATTGAACGATTTTCATGGGTTATTTGGCTTTCTTTTTATATTTCCTATTTCTCCTACTCGTGATATTCCATTTGTATTACAGTTTCCCTATTTTGTTTTCATAACTTGATACCATAATTACACATCTTTACTACCTACTTTCTTATTTGCCTTTTGTTCATCACTTGGCCAAAGTCCCATCTTTTACCCAATCTCCATTGCCTATATTCTACCCGACTTTCCTCCCTATGAACAATGATGCTGTACTTATATTTTTTCACGTCCCTTCTTCCCTGTTTCGACCAGTTCTATGCCCAGTTGCATAGCCGGACATGTCCATTGTGAACCCCTTCCTGATTGTAACTGCAAATACACCGCCTGGTCCTCCTGGTCGCCATGTCAACCGACTTGTGGTCCCACAAGCCGACGTTTTCGCCATCGGCAGATAGCGAAGCCGGCGCGTGGCCGTGGCACACCTTGTCTACATGTGGATACCGAAAATATAACTTTCAGCTCAGTTTCAAGTGAAACAGTTGCTCCAACTGTCTCCAGCCTAAACGAGAATCGTCTAATCGAGACGACCATGTGCTCCGAGGCGCCCGACTGCCCGAGCTGCTATGACAAAGAGACCGGAATTCGTTATCCAGCCGGCGCAAGAGTACCGGTGCTAGGCGACGCCTGTTTGACGGCCTTTTGCAGCTGGACAGGCGCCGTGGTGATGATGTTGAAGCCGGAGCAGACCTCAGAGATGCAGAATAATGAAGATGCGAGGGGAGTTGTCGCTGAAGGACCCCCGGTCATGTATGGAGCCCGGCCCCCGCCGGCCTGGTCAGTCTGGTCTGAGTGGTCCGAATGCCTTGGAACCTCAAGCGCGCTGAAAGACTGGTCACTGGGACAGGTTCAAGCAGAGGAGAGTACCAATTTGGACACGGGTCTTTTTAGCAAAGCGATACGACGCCGTGTCTGTTTGGACGTCTGTACAGGCAAGTCGTCCACGAGGTGTCCCGGATCTGGCTACGAGGTCAAGTCTTGTGAACCAGTCGTCTGTCATGTGAGTTGTATGCATAGTCATATAGGATATTTGGTCTTAAATACTACTCACGAGTATGAATGGCTTGTTGTGATCTAACTCCCAAGTATGCTACAGGGAACCTGACCTGGACGGGTTTGTATGGCAAAAATACGAAAAAATATAGTGTAAAAATTACAGGCACCCTAGGCAACATAATGTAAAGAAGAATTGATGGTTACATTTTCCCACAATGATGTGAGTTGTCAGTGAATTTAACTTGGCCTTGCCTCGCAAAAGGTCTTCTCATTCTTGGTAGACTGCAGTTTCTGTGCTGTTAAGACCTAGGCGATGTAAAAACTGCATTCTACTCCGGCCGGGATGAGAATACCTCGTAGGAATTAATTATTTGTGAAATTTTGTGGACACGTGAGGTATACTCTTATCATTGTGGGAAAAATTAACTATTTTTCCTTCGTCACTCTATGCGACTTAGGGTGACTGGAACTCTTATTCAAGATTTACGAATAGTTTAAAAACTACTTTATATGACAATGATATAATGTAAAGGCTTTTCATAATAACACTGTAAGAATAAAGCTGTAGAAGTGATGGAGAAGGTGAGAAGTCAGAAGAGAGACATGTAGGGAATCGAGACAATGTGATGCATTGTATGGAGGAGACAAAAGAGGCAGCACGATCTAGGCCTGTGTAGAAGAGCAGGAGGGAGTTGCTTCGAAATCCGTCCGGAGAAAGCCTCTTGCTTCTGTTGAGCAAAGAAAATACTGTCATTGTATACGCGGACTTGGCGACATGGTCCTTGTTTCATGCTTCAATGTTGGGACAGGTTTGTTATCCCTTCATTAAAGTCAAACCGACGTCGACGATGATGAAGACGGATATTCGATTTACCGAGAGACTGTATGCACTAAAGGTTGTACCTTACCTTTCATTCTCTTACCGGAAGCCAAATGAGAATTGTGCCTTGGGATTGTGAGTGCAGATCTGGGCAAATCATGCCTCAGCACACTCTCCGATGGCCGGGATTAATCCGTGCTGGGCCTTCGTCTGTACGGTGGCATTTGAGATAGTCATGACTCATACAATCCTTTGGTACCTGCTTACTTTTCATTTCGGTTGAGAGGGCGGGTCGAAGGGCCTCACCGGATATCGCAGGAGGGTTGTCTTAGACTTTTTTCTGTTGAATTGTGGCCAGAAAACATTGGCTCACCGTCTTACCACCCCGATGACTCTGTGCTGAGCTTTCGTCCGTCCTGCGACGGACATCGTCTGAGCAAGAAAGCATTATTCACGAAAATTCAGCAAAAAACACAAAACCGAGAAAGGTGGCCAGCTGAGATCCTACTTACTTCCTACACCTCAATTTGCGATCTTAGTGAGGCATCCCATGATTTGAGTGGCTGACGTATGCTTGTCCTATCTGCATGTAAGTGAGTCAAAGTGATGCAGACAGAGGAGCGGGTCTGATCAAAACTTTTGTCAATGTAAATAAACTAGAGTATGATCCAGTGGTCCTGTGTCTTGTTACCGCTTCGTGGATGAGCGTTTGCGTGTGTATGCAACAACCCAGAGTTGGTTGACCGTTTTAACCTCAAATTGTCAACTTAGACCAACTAACATGCATGTAAGACAAGCATACGTCAGCCAACCAAATCATGGAATGCCTCAATAAGATCGCAAAGTGAGGCATAAGAAGTAATAAGGATCTCAGCTGACAACCTTTCTCGGTTTAGTATTTTTTGGTGATTTTTCGTGAATTTATGCTTTCTGGCTCTGACATTGTTCGTCACAGGACGGACGAAAGTTTAGCATGGAGTCATCTGAGTTGTAATAAGTCTACAAATCTCTTCGACCTGCCTTTTAAAACGAAATGAAAGGTACGTTAGTACCAATCTGTTAAGGGATTCTTCGAAACCCTGTTTCGGTTCATATTACAATCCTTTGGTTTCTGGTATGATTACTTTGCAACTGAAGGGGAACGCAAAACAACATGAATTTCTTCAGCAATTCCTAGAAACCCAGCTTATCTTATATATACAGTCAAAGTATGCCTTGCATAAATCTAGAAACCTACTTAATATGAATCAAAATATTCCTTGTCTAAGCAGAAGCTTCACATTAAAATAAACTCTATAAAAATGTGAGAATGGATACCCACCCAAAGTAAGGTAGTTTCGGGTGATAAATTGTTTTATGAGGCAAATAAAGAATATTGAATTAATGCCACAAGAATTTGACAGTCACTAGAAGCCGGTTAGAGGAGTCTCGTGTTTTACAGTTCAAAGAAAATTGTGTGATGAAAATATTCGAAGGTCGATCCCACGAGATGGTAACAGCGTAGTCCTCTTGGCCAGTTGTTGTTAGGATTTACTTGAACACTCTGATTGATGCGTCCTGATTCACACACACACACATCGACAAAAGTTTACCATAGGATCATATCATAGTTTATGTCTGAGAATGTAGCAAGTCCACAGTCCGACTATGGGAATTATCATGCATACTATAAACTCAGGACGAGGTACGTTCCTCTAGGTATTCCTGACAAAACGACCAAGTTGTGAAAAAAAAGTCAAACAACTTCCATACAACGATGGGGGACCGCGACCATACTAAAGGATACACCATCTCGGTCTTCATATCTTAAATTAAAGGACGG